TCAGACAAGCTATTGGTGTAGAAATGGAGAAGAGTTCAATGTTAAAATTCTGACTTCCTCTCAGGCTGCAGGTAAAATGTTTTCCTGGAATATATAATAGCAAACTTAGGATTTGAAAGCAGTCTTAGTTCTTTTGCTTAATCAACAAAACATCCTCTGGTGAAATGTGGCTTAATTTGTATGTCTATGCTAGTTCTGCAGGTGCAAAATCAGTTAGCAGTAGGCATTTGTATGTAGAATAAATAGCTGCTGTTGGGGACAGAGCTTCAGTATTTCAGGCAAAGTTTCCGTAGGCCTTCTGACTTCAACTTTTGCTGTATTCAGACTTGATGGTGTTCCTAATTACAATTAGACCAGCATTTAGCCACTAACTGTTGCTTCTTGTCTTTCTGTCCTTACTATTCTGGTAGCCTGGCAGTCCTTATTTTTCTTCTAACACACGCATGACAAGCCTTAGCTTAGCTGTGTTTATGTATGAGAGCAGGCTACAAACAGGCAGTCTGGTATTCCTTATTTCCCTCTGTTGTCATTATCTTAGGATAAATGATGTGTGTGTACCTGATCTGTGAATAAACTGTTTCCTGTATGAAATAAGTTTTGAAAATACAGTTCCTCCTTCCTTCCTTCCTTCCTTTCCCTCCCCTGTTGTAACTCTCAACAACTTTTGGTCTGCTCCATAGACATGTTCCAGCAAATGCCAGAGCTCTTCATGAAGGACTATAAATTGTGAACATAATCCCTACAGTAGATTAGTGCTCAGGTTGGCTGAGTGAATTTGCAATGTTATGGTTACAAGGGATTTAAGGGCATTATCTTTCCTGTGCAAACAGTATATGAAAGTTCTTCAGGGATTTTCCCATATATGTATGGGGGGGGGGAGGGGGAAGACAAAACAAAATCAATCAAGCCAAACAAAAACCCCAAGCCAAACAGGGGAACAATTTTTGTATGCGTCGCCTGTGAAGTCAAGTACGCTGTTCTTGTGGCTTATAAGGTTCAAAATTGATTTTAAGCTATAGAAAATGCTCTTCCTGTGCATAAAACTTCAATTTTGAAGGATAGAATGTAAAGATCTGGAAGATCCATCCAGTGCCATTAGGAAGCTGAAATCTTTCCATATGCTGCAGCCATGCAGGAGAGAATTATGTTGGATCTGACAGCTGTCACAGGTAGAAATGGTATGTGCCTTCTTGAAATGGCTGTAGCAATTTGGAAGGGAAATGCCAGATTAGTAGGGAAAAAAAAACCCATTTCCTTTTGTAAACAGTCTTACAAGACAATTACAATTTCTTTGAAGCTACTTACAGATTCTGGTAGGGTAAGTCCAGACAAGATGGATTTGCAGAAGAAATAGCTGATGGGCAGTATAAAGGTGCATGACTAACAATTTTGTTCAGTTCATTTCGTCAAGTGTTGTATATATTCCGTTTCAGAAACCTAAAGTATATATGTTCATTGTTTTGAGTGGATGCTTTCTATTATTTACAGTAGTGTATAATTATACACAGACTGACAAATCTAACAGTGTTGTGGAGTCTATTTTTAGGGTCAGACATTGTGATTATGATCTAGTGTGTCATACTTAGCTAAGCTATGAGCAATAAAATCTTACAGGGAAACAATGCTACTGATCTGGTACCATAGTCTGGTACCAAAGGATCATCTGTACCAGGACAGGGCGTTCTGCTGGCTTTTTCCTTTCTATCCACTTAGTTTCCTGTGTTCTAGACAGGATGAATTAGTGAGGTAGAGCATACAGTTGCCAGACTGGAACAAATTGTTTATTTTCCATTGTTTGTGATCATGCATGACTTACTATGCTTGTTTCTTTTCTTCTTCTATTTTTTTTAAACTGTGATTTTTTCCATCTATGACCTACTGAGAACCCGTGCTGTTCACTACTGCAAAGGCTGCCTTAAGATTTAAGTGTCTGGGCAAGGACCTTAAGATCACTCCAGCCCCAATGCCAGGCAGGGATGCCTTACACTAGACCCAACGCTCGCCCAAGGCTCTAGTCCTAGGGGCCAGTCTTGTATCCCTTTACTAGAAATAGGTAGCCCATGCATGTGCAAACTGTCCCACTGACCATACAGCAGGCTAACTACATTTGCATCCTTCCTCCGCTCACACAGGACTTGAGCAGGAATAAAACAATGAAAACCTACCTGCCTGTTTCTGGGCCTCGTCAGTCACTGTCAAAAGGCTATTGGTATTCCTGAATCCTTAAGAATGAAGTAGCATTGGAAAATGCTGTATCAGAGGCAGTTCACAGTATTGACATACGCTCAAACCAGAACACACCTATGTGAAAGATACCTGACAGCTAAGCTGAGATGCTCAGTGTTTTCTGAGGTGCTATGTCTGAATCTTCAGTTTATCTACATTATAACTCCAGTACTGATAAACTTGGCTTTGCTGTAGTGTTTCAGCTCCTTTGCCTCTGTGTTGCTTCTAGCAGCATGTTTTGCAGCCTACCCTGGTTTTCCTTACATTAAATAAGGATCTTTCAGCATCTTGAGAGAAGTATGTTTTTTTCTGCCTCTGGCAAGCTGCTGCCTGTATCCTCCTGTTACTGAGACTTCCCACCACCCTCTTTCCTCCCCACTCCCCCTCTCTTCCTCCCCCCCCAGTTGGAGGTCAATCTGAAGTGCAGGAAAGAATGATTATGATAACAGGAGGAAACAGGAAGAATCATGCTTTCTTATTCAATCTGTTTTTTATTATTGTTTTAATGTAAAACATTGTTTCAATTAAATGCTGACCAGTGCAGTGGCGTGTGCATGTGCATGCTGAAATGAATTCAGGCTTTGTTTGGAAAGCCGTGACCTCTTTATTCCTGTTCTGGATCAAGGCTGTTGCATCTTAAACCCACTGCTGAGGACTGAAATTTCACTCCTACTCCCAGTAGCGCTGGCAGTAACGGTCCTTAAAAGCGGAATTCTCCTTGAGCATTTTTATGTACTGTTGTCTCTCAATTTTTAAAATAAACTTGTTTGTTTTTAAGAATTCCTCATGTCATGGAAAAAAAACCCACCATGACACCATTAAAATGAATCAAACGGGACTGGTACATGATGGAGCAATGAAGCAGATATGTATAGAAATGAGCAGAGATCTTTACCACTTAGTTGCTTTTTCTGTGACTTAATTTCATAGTATGCATTTTCTTTTTTTTTAAGTGGAGTGAATTGACTTCAATTGACTTCATCAAAAAGGACCTGTAGGAGTCAACTCCAATACCTGCTCCCAGCCCCAAAGTGTTAACTACGATAACACTAGAATAAGATATTCAGTTTGTTATTTGCTCGGATGTAAATTTGAAACGTGGGTGGGGTAAATCTGTGTTGTCTTGTTTAAGTTTTTGTTTGCCTAAAAGGAACTCTTTCTAAGAAAGGAAGTGTGTGGGGGGGAGAAATAACATGAACATTGTCAGGATGGTTAAAATGAATCAGTTATATTTTATACTTGTCCTCTGGTGACCAGATTTTAATTTTTCTCCTTGGGCTCTTGGAATGCTTTTATTTATGTATCTTATTAGTTCTGGATATTCTGTGCAAGGGGAAACCTGAATTGCAAACTTCCCCCTCCCTCCTGCATTATTGTATTAGGAGCCTGGGTATTGAATGCAGGTGCGCGGACTCTGCTGTAATTGGCAGTTTCTGGAGAGACACCAGCTGTACTGCTTCACAGGGGAGTTATTATATCTCTTCACACGTTGTATGTATTGTAGAAAACTCAGAATTCCTGTCATTGTCAGAAACTTTGCATGTCTGCATCTACCAGGGCCTCTGTAGAAAAAAAATCCACTGGAAGTTAAAACCAGTTCTATTTTCAGAAATAGCTTATTCCTTTTATTGTCCTTTCATGTAGCACTAATTGATGTTTTGGTTGGTTAAATATAGCAAAGGTTTATCTTTGTGTGATCATGCAAGGTGCGCTGGTTTCATACTAACTGCCTCTTTTTTTTTTTTTGTAACACATGACAACAGATATTACATATTTGCATATGTGTGTATACCTGTATGTAAGATTATACTCATCATGGAATAATATACTAAATGACATATTTGACAGTTTCAGTTCACAGAACAGGGTTGGAAGTAGAAGTAAACTCCAAATTATATTAGACCTTAAAAGGCATAATTATATGGTGGGAAAACCATGATGCTTCTGGGCATCTTACACAACAGGGGCAGTAGCTGCTCTCTCTGAGGAATGCCTGGGTGCTGCAGATGGTACTGCTTGGTCCTGCCCGAGGAGTATTGGTATATTGATGGTTGGGACTTGTGCAGGTTTTGGAGGATAGAATTAAAGGGGGAAGCTAGGAATTAGTATCAAGATTTATAGGTATTGTATGCAAGGGATTTTGCCAAACAAAAGAGAAGATAAAAGCTCTGATTGTGTTTAAATCATGTGATTGCTGAAGGGAATGGAGAACTATCGAGTGTTGTAGGGAATGTTTCTTGCATACCAAGAAAAATACGGGTGTCTGGCATATTACTGAATAGCAAAATAGGGTTCCAATGAAAGTAAAAGAGATCTCATCAGTTTGTTTCTAAGAACAGCTTGGAAAATACAGTCCTAGTAAGAGAAGAATGGACAAGGTTGCAAATGTCTTATGTGAGCTGATTTAATGTTTACCTTGAATATTCATTATCCCTCTTCCTCTGTGCTTTAGAAATGTGTTTGGATCAATGTGTGGACCTTTGGAGGTTTTGCCCTGTTAGCTTCATCTCTGGGAACACAGGCGCATGGCTGTTTCATTCTGTCTTTTGGACAGATTTAGTTTATATTCTGTCTGTGGTCATTAAATCCCCCTTTTCTTGTGCTCTCATCAGAAGTGTCTCTCCTGTTCTTTGACCTAGTTAAGGCTCAGCATTGAGACATTCTTTTGAACATAATTTCCTTTCCAGTGCTGCTGTGTTTGTATGTTGTACACTCTCTGTTTGTGAGAACCAAGAGGAAGTCTACGTATTTCCATGCTTTTCTGTTTTTAATAGGTTTGTACGCATTGCGGAGAGCACTGGCGAAAAGACCTAACGTATTAGACAACGAGGTGGCTGGGTCAGTGATGATTGCTTTCAATGACTTCCTACAGGGGATGAATGATGTCAGGCCCAGCGCCATGAGGGAGGTGGCAGTTGATGTGCCAAAAGTAAGTCTTTTTTTGCAATATGCTAGCAACGTTGTGAAAGCCATGTTAAGAGTTGCAGTTAGGCATTTAAATGCTCTACCAAAAGAGTAATTCTGTGGAGTCCTCAAGTTACCAATAAATGCTGTGTGTCATCTTTTTGTTTGCTTATTTGTTTAATTATAATTTTGAAGAGCTGTTTACAGAAGATAAAGTTCCTAATGCTTTAGGAAGAGTTGGTAATGCAGGAGTGTGTCTCCTGATTGGTAGTTTTGTATACTGAGTGGGTTAGTGGAGTAAAAATCTTCAGATGTCTGCTCAAAGCAGATCCTGAATAGTGGTGAAAGCTGAAGCCTATTGTAAAGCAGACATAAACTGAAGCAGAAACCAACTGCTAGCATTTGTAACCAGTGTGTATTGAAACAAAAATGTGGAGAGATTGATTGCTATGTTTTTTGTTTGGTTGGGGTTTTTGTTTTAAACGCTGATTATATCTACATGCAATTCATACCACTGTGACCTGAGCCTCTTCAGTGTCATTACATGGTTTTAATTGAGGGCAGAATTACATACTGTAGGTAGATTATCACTGCCAAGTGGTTACCAGTCAGGGGATGTCATTATATGAACAGTTCCTTTGGTTCATCTTTACCCTGCTTGGTGCCTTCTCAGTTAGGTATTATGGTAGCTCAGTAGCAGACACAACCTAAGTTGGGCTGGGGAACTGATCTGGTTTAAAATGACTGATCTGGCTTCAGAAGATTCAGCAAAAGAAAATGTATTTAATCTTACTAAATCTTAACTCTGCAAGTGGTCATGCTGGTGTTTCTCAGCAGCTCCCCAAGCCCTAGAAGAAAACATTTATGTTTCATTGCATGAACATGAGTCATCTTGGAATTAGATTGCACAACTGTAGACACTTATTCCCAAATTATAGGAATGGGAAATAAAATCTGTGAACAGGATGCTGCATGCAGCCAGCTTGGATATCACACTTGGCTTGTTAAGAGTCCTTGCTGTGTAGTGAAGTGCTGGGTGGAAATGCCTGGGCTGGCCCCAGACAGCTTTTCCTGGAAATGGTGTAGTGGCATCAATATCCGCAAAGGCTAAGTAGTTCTGCTGAAAACCAGAGTTACTAATTCTCTCATTGCTTTTTGTGCTATTGGCTCATTATAACTGTGCTGTGTCTTTTAAACATACCAACCTGTTTGGAGGCAGATGGAGTGCTGCTAAACAGCACGATAAAGACAGATGGAAGCAAGGTCTTGAGGTACTGCAGGGAGTTGTTTCTGAATCCAAGTCAACCTACTACTCGGGCTCCTGTTGTCCACTAAACACAATAAGGGCAGATAGAAGCACAATAAAGACAGATAGAAGCAAGGTCTTGAGGTACTGCAGGGAGTTGTTTCTGGATCCAGGTCAACCTACTGCTCAGGCTCCTGTTGTCCACTAATCCACTAAACCGTCCTGCTGGTGGCTTCCTGGGTTGTCACTGGTTTTTAATTTGTTAAGTACCACCTGAGTCAGTAGAATACTACTGAAATTCATTCCGTTACTGAGGGAAAGATAACAACATAGTGCAGATTGCTTTTGTGCTGACAGGGCCTGCATTTTTACAGAATAATGCATATCCTTTGAAGATAGAGGCTAAAGTTCAGGCCCATCTGTTGGTGCCTGGGGTGAGTTTAAAGTGGAACCAAAAATACCAGATGCAACGGCTTTTGTGTCCTCCCACATCACCTGCCAAAAGAGTTGCTGGAATTCAGTTTAACCATTATTTTCGGCTGCAGAGCTACCAGGTTACCAAAGTTAAAGTACCTGTGCATGCTAAGAAACAGAGTGAATATCTGGAAATGCTGACACGCTATTGAAGAATGTCACAGTAGTGTAAATCCAGCATTGTAACACCACTGGCACCCTCAGGGCTAATTGCTCCATTACCATTTGTATTTAAGGTAGGGATGTGCCCTACACCAGTTCAAGTCCATAGGTTAGCTGAAAGAACTTGGTTCTGCTGTGGCTGGGTGGTCAGGATGGCAAAGCAGGGGAAGCAAGCAACAGGAATCCTAGCCCCTGGTAGGGCTGCTTGCTGGGAATTTGGGATGTGATTCAGGAACACCTGCAGACACCTGAAGCTCATTCCTGTACTGTAGCATAGTGTAGCTATTTTAAAACAAAGTTGACCACTCTGTGGTTTATAGACATGCACAAGCATAAAGAAATAATAATAATAAAAAAAATCTATTCATCATTGTTATTAAACAGACTAGTGTAATTTGCTCTTTATTGACAAATAAAATATGTCTTATTCTCATCTGGTTGTTAGTGTCTTGAGTGGCACTTTGTATTTAATGTACTGTTATCCAGAGAATTAAATTGGTTGATTTGTTATTTTGAATACAGATTGTAGCAGAAAGTGTAATGCAGTTTCTAATTCCTTGGATAACTTTTTTTGAGAGGAATATCCAATGTTTTATGTTGCATGCTTCTAGTAGTGATTTTTAGGTATGTCTCAAATTGGATGCTGGAGTACTTGGTTTCAATAGAAACCAGGTATCAAAGAACCCAAATGAGTGCAACTGCAGAGCCATTAATTAGTTGCATCATTTTTGTGCTGATGATTCTGTGTCCTAGGCTGCTTTGCTGTTTAATATTGTGCTTGAATGTCTGCTTCTGCAAAAACTTTGGGAAACATTACTTACTTGCCACAGAACTGACACTAGTAGTCTTAATTTCGATATGAAGTTCTTCCTCTTTACTAATTTACCCCTTTTTCAGTGCTTCCACTGAAAAGTGTAAATGCTTTTCAGTGTGACTGGAAGCTTTTCAGTGCTTCCAGTCCACAGACTTGGGCCGTTTACCCATTAAACACTTAGTTGGCTGTTGGCTATAGTGTACTCTGATACTTACTTAAATGCTCTCCAGTAGTTTATACCAACAGAAACTGCCTTACTTACACCTTTTGTTGTGTTCTTATCAAAATGTAAAAAAGATAGCTGGATGGGCGGGAAATGAAAGCTGGACGGCTATCTGGTTCATGGTTTCTGTTTCTTTTTCTTCAGGAAACCTAAAACTTGTGGTTTGCTTTGGTTTTGTTTTCCCTGGCTAATGTACCTTTGTGCAATCATCCTGTATTGATTAATGTCTAGATACTATGTCTGTTAGGATATCCTTGTCTTCCCCTGCTCTCCTTGCCCCGGAAGCTATCCAACTGCACAGCTGATTGTGTAGGTAAATCTCTTAGAAAATCAAAGGTTACATTCCTTCATGTTTTGAAGTTTCCTTAACACTGTCATCTACAAAATCCGTGCTAAAATTAACTTCAGACACTAAATAAATGATCATCTATGAGATTTATTTTATACTTTTGTTCCCAAAAAAGAGAAGTCTGAGCTACACTAATTAATAGTATCAGCTTTGTTGCTGTTTATTGCAGATACATTTTTCACTTGGCAGCCCCTTTGTGTGACTGAAACTTCTGGGCTGTGCAGTTAGTTACAAGTATAACCATTGATGTACATGCTGAATTAAACTGAGACTTTTGTGATTTTTAACTTTGTTTTTCAGAAAGTGGTTTGTTTTGGTTTGGGTTCTTTTGGGGTTTTTTGGTTGTTTTCATATTTCATTGCTTTGCACTAGCCATGTGTCAACTGAATGAGAAAAGTTCAAAGTAACGTCTAAATAAAGCCACAAGTAAATGAACTTTGAAGAGCCCCTTCCCTTATGATACCTTTGCCATTTACTGCTGTTGGATTTTTTTGAAGCTGGTATCATCTCTGATACTGAATGAAAATAATTACTTGTTTTATCAGACACTCCAAATTTTCATCCACACAGACCTTGTTCTTTGAAATCTTCAGCACTTGGAGTAGGGTGTACAGAAACTGAATTTTCTAATCAGTCTTTGCTTATTAGGTCCTAGAATTGAGTACTAGTAACTTGGCTACTTGGAAGGCTAGATGGCTATATGGCTCTCCTGCAGTCTTTTGTCTTATTTAAAACCTGGGAAAACCTCTTGTTATGTGTGTACTTGGGGTAGTAACTAAGGAACATGGAGATACATTTTAAGTGACTTGTTTGGGTGGCCTCAAGCAAGTTGCTTCTTGGTGTTTGAGGATATTGATAATCTGTATAGAATGCTTTGCAATCTGCTTCTGAAAAGTGCTCCATGACAAGTTAGTTATTAGGGTGACAGAAATTGACAGAAATTGGGCTCTTTTTTCCTTTTATCCCATGCATATTCAAAATTTCTAATGGGGTAAATGACCATAATGAAGTGAGTTTGTGGCAGCAGACTGAAAGTGACGTTGTGTGCAGGAGGAGCTGGAGGAAGAAGTGACACCACATGCCTATTTTTTTTTGCGTTCTTTCTGCCTTTTTTTGTACTTCCACTTGTGTCTGCATTGCTGTGTGCAACCAAGACAAATGCAGGATACTCACTGCCTGGTTCCATGTAGCATCTTGCTTTCTGTTTGTACAGAACCTTTCTTGAACTTTATTATGCATTACAACCTTTTTAGAAGGCTGCTTTTTTTTCTTCAGGAGGGATGTAGGAGAGAGGGGATGCACATTATAAATCAGGAAGTTGATACTTCAGTTCTTCAGAAAGTTGCACTGTAGTTCCCATTCCTCCCTCTCCTATGGGTCTTTCTGAAATTTTTGTAGAGTGCTATGGTTTTGCCTGCTTGTTTCACTCCCTTTACTGTAATTCAACACTCAGATTTGTCTTTGCAGCCAGAAGTTTCTGGATGAGACATCCTTTGCATGTCTGCTTTATTTCTTAGCTGCTGCTGCTTAACAACCTCAGTTGCTGCCCTGCATCGTATTCTGAGCTCTGTTGACCTGGGCAGACATAAAGATTACAGCAGTACTGAAATCTTGGTGTCTTACACACTGTAGCAGAGCACTGTCTTTGTATATGTAAGCTCAGCCCCAAGGTTTGTCTTTAAAACTACTTCCACAGTGACAGAATATCACATTTCATTACTTCTGTTGCAAGACTCTTCCTTTGAGTTGGTTGCAGGTGAAAGAACTGCAGCTGGCTGTCCGAATGAGTTCACTAGAATTGGTATTCATGGCAGTCAGGAAGTTACTTGAGGATTTGTGTGAAAAAGCAGTCCATCTGGTTCTTCCAAGCTTATGTAAATCTAAAATAATTCTTACTTTTGAGTGTTTTACCATTGATTGAAGGGTTTCCTCCTTCCCCCTCCATCTCTGTCCTTTTGAAAAGCGGGAGTGGGGGGGGGGAGGGGGGTTTTGTTTAGGACTTTAGGACTCGACCAGAGTCTTGCCTTTGCTGGTCCCTCTGCTGTCAGATCCTCCTTAGTAGGCAGTGATGATCAGCTCTGCATATTTAACGCTTCCCCTGGTTTGTAAAGTAATTATTTAAGAGCCAGAAGCTGTTGGTCACTAAGAAAAAGAGTTTAGTTTTGGTTTTTTTCTAGAGCTCCTGTAACATATTCCTGGCCTGAGAGAGATGATGTTCTGCAGGTAGCAGATGGGCAGCTCCTCACCTTCCAGTTAGTCTTTAAACTCTGAGTATTTCTGAGGGGTTGACCCATGCATATTGATCTCTGCTGTGTGCTCTCCGCTGTCTTTGTAATTTTCTTCTCTGTCAAAGACTGACAATTAAGGAGAAGTTTTACTTGGTTTGCTTCAACTTACACTAAGTACTTGCACCACATCCAAATGCTCTTTTTCCTCCACTTCAGTAGCAGACTGAATTGCCTCTTTTGGGGAATATCTACTTTTAGTTTCCACTTTATACTGGTATCATGAAAATAGCAATAGGGACAAGCCAGGAGTGACCCCAGTTTTCAAGTTGGGAGGAATGTGATACATTGCCTTTTAGTAATACTCTGCTTGCCTTTCAAGTGTAGCTGACTTTCCAGAGCTGAAGGTGATTTATGTCTAGCAAGTTTTTGGAAGAGTGTTTTAAGGCAGAAGATCATTTGATTTAGGTGTGTCTGGACATGTTTAATATCTGAAGTGGACAGGAGTGGGTGGTGACAGGACGAAGTGCCACCTGGGGGATGTGGGAGAAAGTCTCAGTCAGGCTTGTTGACAGTGATGTGGGGAGAGGTGTATCAGGTTTTAGATCTCTCTGCTCTCTTGGGTAGGTCATGCTAGTTCTGTCCTGATGTATGCCTGACAAGCCTGTCTTGGATCTTCAGCAGATCAAATTTAACTGCAGTTGGGTTTGAGTGTTGCTTTTGTGTGTGTGTGGTTGTTTTTTTTTTTTTTCCTCTAGATACTTGTCTGCTTGGAGGATTGCTTGTTCTCAAGCTTCCAGCCGAGTCTGGGCATCTCCAATGCCCAAGTCCTGTGTGGGACTGATAGTGCTGGCAAGTGGAGAAACCACCCCAAAACTCATAATACTTAGTCCTGTTCAATTTAGTGAGATTATATAGCTGGGATCAGGGCCTTACTCTGCAGCTATAAATAAAACCAGCTTGAGCTCACAGAAGTCCTTTCCTTTAGGGAAGACATCAAAGCAATTTGAAAGTTCTTTGTCCCAAGAGAGCGGAGTTCTGACTTTGCTAGTGATCACACAAAGTGTTGCTGCCTGTGTGATCATGCTGTCATTTATTATTGTTTTTCTATGTTTTGTTATTGACCTTTGAAGTAGATACAAAATATTTTGCTTACATCCTCCAGCATAAAGCAATTCTAATCCCCTCTTGCTTTGTGTGACTTTATTAGTAATTACTTCTTAAAAAAGAAAAAAGTCTTTTTGAAGAAGTGACTGGTTAAAAACAACAAAACAACGTCATGAAGTATGCATTCTACAAAGCATTTTTTAAAATAGTTTTGCTCCATTGTCTGAATTCAGCAAAATGGTCTGTTTTGCAGGTATCTTGGTCAGACATAGGAGGAATGGAAGACGTCAAGCTGAAATTGAAGCAGGCGGTTGAATGGCCTCTCAAACATCCTGACTCCTTCATCCAGATGGGGATTCGGCCTCCGAAAGGTGTGCTGCTTTATGGACCCCCTGGATGCTCAAAAACAATGATAGCAAAAGCTTTGGCTCATGAAAGTGGTCTCAACTTCTTGGCAGTGAAGGTAGGCCATTTAGTCTTACATTTTCTTAACTCGTGCAAAGCAACTGATAGTTTACCAATTTCCAGTGCTAGAGTCCAGTGGCTCTTACTGTTTGTGATTATTATATATGCTAGAGAAAACACCTTGTCAATATCAAGTAAGGTTTGTGTTTTCTTACAAAAAGGACTAGTGGTTTCTTGTATGCTTTTCAAAAAGCTGTTACTTAGTTTTAGCAGAGTTGAATAGGTGGGTAAGCTGTCTACTGTCTTCTTACTGTAATAACTACTTGCTTGTGTGGAAATATTATCATCTCATCTCTTACATTCCTTTTCATTCCTAAGGAAAGTAACTTCTTTTATCCGACTGTTCATGTTTCATTACATTTCATTAGATTTCCCTCCCCCCCCCCCATTTGCCTTTTTTTCAGGGGAAATAGTTCTACTTCATCAGTTTTTAGAAAGTTTGCAAAATCAGTTATGTCTGGGTTACTCTTGGATAAGTGGGATATTTGCTTAGCATTAAGGAACACTTTGTAGAAAAATTTTGGATTTGTTGCCTATGAATCAGTCTAACCGATTATTGTGGGTCGTATGGAAAACGCATGAATGGAAGTTATTTAATAATAATACTGAGCTTCAACATGTAGGAAAGAAAAAAAGATAGCAGAGTGATCCCACATGGGGTAGCCTTGCAGCTGTGTCAGAATGTTAATGAAGTGCAAGAAAAAACATTTGTTTAAGTATTTTAAAAGTATCTCCTTCTCAGCAGTAAGATCACGTACTCTTGTCTGTTGGCCATCTCTTTACTCACAAAGCCTTCTGTGTTGTTAGTTTCTACACAGCTTCCTCCTCTGCCTGTCCTTTCAGACACACTCTAACTGTAGCTCTGGATCCTGTTCTCTCTGGGAGCAGAGGCGGGTGCCCTGACCCTAAAGCCAGCAACCCTTCATTGCCTGTGCTTCCTGGGATTGCAGACAGGCCTCTGGGTCACGGTCACATCAACAAGAGCAGCTTGGAAACCTCAGTCCTTAAGAAACACTACCTTTACTCTGCCTCTTCTGTAAGACAAAGTAGTTCTTTGTACTCCAGAGTTACTGGTAAACAAGGTAACCTTTTCCTCCTGCACTGCTTAATAGAAAACATTCCTCTTTGTCTCACCCAAGGCACTGATGCCTGAGAGCATGGGGCGAAAAAAAGTAGCAGCCTGAAAAAAACAACCCTGAAGAGTTAAAAATGAACATTGTCACTATCCTGTGTTCATCAGTCATAGCTACATCAGGCATTCTTATTGATGCAGTTAATTGTCCAAAAGTGAAAGGTGGCTCGTGCTAAATAGAGGTATCCAGAGGCGCACTGATATGAAATTAGTTATAGAGTAATGCAGTGTTTCTTCACAGTGGAGTTCTGCTGATGCAAAACCCTATCATTGACAAGCTGCAGCAGCACTGGCTAGTTTAGTCTGGGGAAACTGCCTTTTATTCCTTGTCCGTTTAAATCACTTGGCCTGGAACTGGTCAAATATTCCATGTACAGATGTTTCAAGAAGCACATCTCTGGAGCATGTCCAGCCCTGGGATATGTTGACTCCAGGAAGGGAACATAGCCCACTTTCTCTAACTTCACATTTGCTTCCTGCACAGAAAAGGCAACATCCATCATGTACTAAATGTGTTAAACATCATTGTCTGCAGCACTTCTTCAAGCACAACAGGCACGAATTAATTTCCACTGCATGTATTCCTGCAATAAATCCAAAGTAGATGAATATGCTGGGGGGTTGGGTTTTTTGACTGCTTTTTTTTGCCTTTTTTACTTTTTGGGGGGGTGCAGGGGGGCTCCTTTTTTTCTTCTTTTTTTTTTTTTTTTTTCTTCCTCTGTGAGAGAGAGGATTTTTCTTGCTTATAGTCTTATTTTCTTCTTCTCCATGTTATGTCTCAAATATCTGTCCTTGGAACCGATATCAGACTTGCATTCTCCTCCCAGTCTGTCCTGCCCCACATAAATAATTTTGATGAAAAGTGTCTGCTGTACAGCTTGTGGAATATGCATATTCTTTCAGAACAGTCCAGGTGACTCAGGTTCTTGGGTCCTTCTTGAGAACAGACTGCAGACAGGAGGCACAGCTCTAGCTATGGGAGCCTGTTTCTGGATGCTGTCTCTCCCTGTGCCTGAAACCTGAGAGGAAACTGAGTACATCACATGCAGTTCTTACTTGGTCCAGGGATTTTTGGAAGATGAACTGATTATGTCTGCACACTACATTTAAGATATGTGGGCACAGTAAGTCCCAACTCTCTGAGAGTGCTGTATGTACTCTTACTTGTATAAGTTGGCTGCCCTGCTTGGGTGCTCTTGCCCCAGCCTGGCTCTAAGAAGGCTTTGTACTGTTTTCCAGATATGTCTATGCAATGTCTGTGCAGTTTGGGCAGCTGGCTCTGTTCAGTGAGGTCCTTCAACTGGGTTATATGTAATCTGTTAAAAAGCGAACATTTCCATGTGTCTTGGGCATGATGGGTTGTCATAATGCTGTATGAGGCACGATAGAAACAACTCAGTCTCCAGCCCACATCTGATTTGCCTCTAATAAGGTTTGGAAGATGGGCAAGGTCAAAATGTGATTTCTGTGGAGAGGAGCTGAAGAAAATAACGTGATAACAGATGTTTGACGTTGCATCCTGTTCTCTCCTGAAATCTATTGTGAAGTTTGAATGGTTAGTGTTACAATGAATGTGGCTCTTTTGTAAACATGCTCTTTGATATTTGGCCAAAACTTTTTATAGTTGTATTTTCACCAAGATTGACGACCTTTTGCTTTTCCAGGGAAAAGCATTTGGCTGGTTCGTTTGTTTTACAAAGCAATCTTGCATGTAATTCCTAAGGGGAATTGTTTATTTTTACTCCTTCACTTGACTTTGTCTTTAATACAATATAGCTGCTAAATTTACTGGGGAGGAGGTTTTCAACTATTTTCCAGGGGATGGCTCTTCCTGCTCCCTCCCACCACCCCTTTTTCTGTATCTCTTGCTGCACTGAGGCTTTTCAGGGGTTTTTTTAGTGGTCATCTTGCTTATTTCTACACACACACACACACACCCCCACCTCTGTTACAAAAAGACAACTGAATTGTTCTCAACTTCTTAAAGACTTTTCAGTGTTTTGTGGTCATGGATACAAGAGAGTACAAGACTGTGTGAAGGAATGAATTAGGATAATTTTTTAGTTCTTTGGGATTGAACATCTGTCTTATCAATAGTCTTTGATCTGGTTAAATTCTTACTTCAGTTAGCCTTCTATGCACTTCTGTACTTCTTCACACTCCTTTTGTGCTTGCCCCAGCATTTGTAATTTTCTTCTGAAATGTATTTATGCCTTTATTTTACTAACAGGAAAGGAAAAGTGCTCACAGATACTGGACCTATCAACATTAATATGATGAGATAAAATTTTCAGCTTCTGCCAGGCTGATGACACCTCTCCGGTGTATACAACTTCCTCTGTGACACTTTTGCTTTAGATGTCATCTAGCTTTCTGAAATTGAACATGAAGAAAATGAACCCTTTTGTCACTGTGTTATTTCTGTGGGCCTTTTTTCCTCTCTTTTGACTGACTGTGGTAGTATCTCTCCATACTGTTTTGACACTTCCTACACTTAGGGTCAGCTTTGACTGGCTCCTTTTTGAGGTACATGTTGATTAGACCACTAAGATTTTGTGGTGATATTATAAGAATATTTCTGGGAGAAACTTCCGTATCTTTCTGTATGGCGTAGATCATTATATCTGTGTTTGTCTTGCATCTTAGTTTATTTAAATTTGATATTACTGTCCTCTTGTTTTTTGTGTTTGTTTTTCCCCTCGTTATTTACAGGAAATCCTGTGTCACTGTGTTGTGCTGAGAATCCAATGAATATTATTTTCCTCATGGATTTTCTGTTGCTTGCTCAGGATGCTGGATACTGGAGGGGATATATGTTATTGATGCTATCCTGCATTGCATTACTTTCTACTTATGCAGACTGCTAAAACCAGGGGAGACTTTCTGCTAATTTCAGGAGGCTTTTTCTCGGGATTATGTCAGTAGGGGATTCTGAGTTCTGTTTTCTGTCCAACAAGCAGATCACCTGAGTTTAACATCAAAACTAAGGCAAAAACTCACTTAGTGATAATGACAAAAACCAGCTTAAAATTTCTGAAAATCTAGACCTCCAAAAGTTAACCCCCCTGGAATTCAGCTGAGAGACACACTAATTGTTGTAAACATGATGGAACAATACATCAAAAAAACCCCAAACCAACCCAAAACCAAAAAATCACTCACCCGGACCCACCCGTGACAGTAAGTACTGTTTATGGATGTTAATGCCAAGCAAACCAATGGTTTACTTTGGTTAGGAGTTTCAACTATGGTGTGATTTTAAAAAGAAGTGTTGGGGTTTTTTTGGTTGGTTGGTTTTGTGTGGTTTGTTGGGGTTTTTTTTTTGGTTGTTTGTTTTGTTTTTTCTTTTTCTTTATTTTTTTTTTTTAAAGGTAGAAAATATTCCTGACATCTTGTTTGCTGTTACTGAAGAGCTTGGGCTAAAGGAATCTTTTCTTTTTTCAATTAGCAGTAATTACAAAAATATACACTGTTCTCAAAGCTCTGACTTCACCTTGGCTTGATTTAACTTCCTGTATTCCTGTATCACTCTGCTGATGCTTTTGTACCACTCCCTGTGCTTGGCATGTGCTTAAGCTTAGTTTGTCATCTGGGTCAATTATGTCAAAATATTTTCCAATTGAAGTTTCCTTTGCTTTTTCCTTCAGTTCTTGGCTGTGGCAGCTCAAACAGATTAATGAGCCTTGGAAAAGCCAACTACTTTGCTTTGTGAAGAACTGTCATTGAGTTTTGGGGAGATACTTTAGCCTTTCGATGGGGATTTCAGTGGACAGAAGCATGAACTTGGTGCCTGTAACTAGTTAAGGAAAACATTTAAGATGAAAAATGAAGCAGCATTGTGGTTTTATGGAGAAACTCTGGCAAACATTTAATAATATTTCCCAAAAGATCCATAGTAACACATTCATAGTAACTTGTTAGTTAATTGCAGATAGTAAAACTAACTGTATTTGAAAATTTGTTTAACGTTTTTAACAAGAGATAACAATTTGGGAAGCTTTAATGAATTCTCTTAACCTGGACAAGAGGAGGCTCAGGGGAGACCTTAGAGCAGCTTTCCAGTACTTGAAGGGGGCTACAAGAAATCTGGAGGGTGACTTTTTACAAGGGCATGTAGTGACAGGACAAGGGAGAATGGCTTTAAGCTGACATAGTGGAGATTTAGATTAGCTATTAGGAAGAAGTTCTTCCCCGTGAGGGTGCTGAGGCGCTGGCACAGGGTGCCCAGAGAAGCTGTGGTTGCCCCATCCCTGTCAGTGTTCAAGGCCAGGTTGGATGAGGCTTGGAGGAACCTGATCTAGTGGAAGGTGTCCCTGCCCGTGGCAGGAGGTTGGAACTGGACAAGCTTTAAGATCCCTTCCAACTCCAACCATTCTGTGATTCTATGGTTATGGCTGATATTTTAATGTCTGTTTGATCACTTCTACTTTGCACATGACAAAGAAGGAATTGTGTGTTTTCTGTTGTAGAGTAGGATGTGGTAGAAATTCTCTAATTAATTGGATTTTTAAAAATATGAACCATATCTATAGATAAAACAGTTCAGCGTGTCTGTGTTAGAACCCAGAACTTGCATGTGTTCAAATGGCATTATTTTTGAAGAGAGCAGGCAGAGCTATATGCCAAAGAAATCTGGACCTCTGTCCATCTGGCTCAACAAGCTTAAGTGCGTAACTTATCTGATTGTCAAAATAGTCAAGAAATTGTATATAGAGGGAAGTCACCAGCTAGATTTCCTATATATTGAAAGTTGCCACTCCCATATTTTCATGTGGAAAAAATTTGCAAGTGGTTTTAAGCACTGCTTAGAAAAATTACTGATACTCCAACTTCAGGGATAACCAGATGTTCCTCTTGCAGTTTAAAAACACTCCAAGAACTGCTGTTACAACCGTGTGTACATAAGCTTATCTTACGTGGCAGCCTGTGTACAAGGATCTTATCTTTTGTGCAGTTAATCTTTAGAGCGCTTATTCTGATCATATTTTAAATATAAGAAATCTTCTTTTATTATTGCTATTTTATTAAAAATAAAAATAAAACAGGCATTAATGCAGACCATAAGCAAGTGGCAGTTTTCGTCATACAAGGGAAACATTTATTGTAAATGAGAATGGGATAGTGTTTAAACAGCATACCTGGAAACTATTTCTACTTTTCAAGATGGATAAACAAAACTCAACAGCGTAGAATGGTCCTGAATTGGCAGGTTTTATACTATTAGTCTCACAAATGGCATGCTTAGATGCATGGCTAAGCTACAGCTACTTCTGCCAATTTCCTGCTTCAGGTCTTTAACTGATTTTGGACTCGTTGTGCAAATGAGCAGAAGAAGCAGGTTTTAGTTGTTCACATCCCTTCGTATGAAAGATGACTTGTTGCAGATGCTATGTGTCATTAAACTGGACCATTTGTTACTAACATCTCTTGGTCAGTATATCCACAACTATAAACAACTTTTAAAGGAATCATTATGCTCACCTCTGTGCCAGAAATGATGGTTCGACAAACGGCAACTTACTGACTAGGTCAGCATTGAAAAATAATTAAAAAATGCCCCTCCTGGTGTTTGTTGAGTGGCCTCCAAATTCGAAGCAACCTTCTTAAAACAAAAAGATGAGCTTTGTGAAAATCAGAAGCAGAGTCAGCAAGTGACTCTGCAGTGGCCTATACACTGCTGC